AGTACGGTTTGGTAGCAACTCCGTGCTCGAACCGGGCAGAGAAGCAATTCCTCCTGACCTTCCGGGCAGCCAACAATTTGACAGCCGGGGGATGACGATCGGGTGAGGATCGTGTCCTGGGATTTGGTTCTAGGCGAGAAACACGATTCGTGTCTTTCGCACAACTTGATTGTCCATAACGACGGTACATCATCCGAGAAGGACAATGCCCCCAGCTCTGGTCGACGCCTACCTGAGGCGAGGGCCAGTAGGAAGACTATTTTCCACGTCGAAAAATTTGAGTGGTACTGATCAGAGAGGCTCAAAGGGCGGTCTGCTTAGAGCGGACAACACAGCCAACAAGTCCGAGTTGGGCGGTTCCCTTGTATGGGTCTTGGCGTCTGGAAAGCAGTAAATAGTCTCCTAATAATAGGACAATCGGCTAGTCTTGTTCCCGTACGTTCTCAATGGTGGGGGACAAGGCCGACCTGTAGCCAAGGATCGCTGCGTCGGGCAAACCCACTTCGTCAAACAGGTGGACGAAGGAGCCTGCTACCTGGCCAATAGAGGGATGGTATGGATCAATCTCCCTTCCGCTACACCAATCAGTGTATGCTCGCAGCCTAGAAATGTAGGCTGCATTGGTGGAATCCCTGTTCGCCCTGGCCAGGACGTTGGCAGCCCGCTCAGATAAAGCTTTCGTATGTGCGGGTCTATGCGTGAACTAGCGGGAAGGGAGGAAAGGCGTACACAACTAAGTGGGTCCACGGGGTTAGCAAAGCGACCCTGGCTCAGGCTCCTGAAGTCGGCAGGAGTGTTACGTACATTGGGAGCTTGGCGTTCCGGGGTGCGGCAAACCGGTCTAACCTTGGGCCGTCCCACAGCCGAAACAGCCTGGAGGCTTGTATCAGCTACCCCGTGTTCTGGAGACGGAGCCGCCCTGAAAGGGCGTCTGCCAGACTGTTCCTCACCCCTGGAAGGTGGTGTGCGGTTAGCTCCACATTGTATTACAGGCACCAAAGGAGGATTTGCTCCGCTAGGACTGACAACGATGAGGAACGCGTCCCCCCTCCTTCTTGAAGGAGACCACCGCTGCATTGTCTGTGTGGAGCAGGACTCTGTGGTAGAAAGTGTGGTAGTGCTAAGTACACTGCTTTCAGTTTGAGTCGGTTGATATGGCAGTCCCGAAACTAATGCGGGCCATATACCTGCGGCGAGCGGGTCCAAGGGGCCTCCTGTCCGAGGTTGGCCAGTGACGGCCA